AATTCATTAGTTGTGAAGCATAGTTCTATTTTTCCATACTGTGTGTTTAGGAATATATATAAATACTTAGAAACTGATTTATTAAAAAAAACCAACACCCCAAAAAACAAACAAACCTCCTCTTTTAGGTTTATTCAGCTACTGTATTTCACAAAAAATACGTTTGTTTTAAATTTTAATGATGAGATTAACTAATTTTCTCTGTTAGGACATAATTAAAACTGATGGACTGGGGCAATGGTTCTCAACCAGGGGCTATTTGGCAATGTCTGGAAATATTTTTGGTTATTACAACCGGGTAGGGGAGTGCTATTGGCATCTAGTAGGTAGAAGCCAGGAATGCTGCTAAATATTCTACAATGCACAGGACAGCCCTCTACAACAAAGAATTACTGGCCCAAAATGTCAACAGTGCTATAAATTCCTGGCCTAAAAGCATTAGAAAAGTTGAAAGTATTTTATAACCTTTATTACTGAATTAGGGGGAAAATATACTTTTAGAAACAAAATGGGTTGGATTTACATTTAAAACTGTTTGTGAGCTTCAAATAATTTCTTTTGATTGTTAATCTTTTTCATTTTTTTAAACCATAAAACAGAAACTAGGGTAATTTCATTGTTTCTAGGAAAATGATTTAGAATATTTTGAATGTTAGTGAAATCTATTTAGGGAAGAACTGAGGTATGTGTAAGTGGAGGTGGCATGATTGTTTGTGCGTACATTTGTAGAGTAAGAGAAAAACGTAAAACCAAATGGCATAATGGCTCCAGCCTTTCACCTTCTGGTAAGTGGAAAATTTATTCAGCACCAGTGTAGCAGTGGTTGTCAACCTGTTTACTGTTTCTAATTAAGAGTGCTTCTTAATTTGGGATACAGTAGAAGGCTCTTCCCTTTTTTTTTTTTAATACTGGTGCTTGTTTTGTTTAGCAGTATAATTGGAAGGAGACTTTCTAGGAAGATGATTGTTCCAGTCTCTTGAGATATCTCAACCTTTTATTACCCCATGAGATAATTCTGTATTTTAGTATGTATTGTGAAAACTATAAAACTGGAATCCCATTTCAGAACAAAGTATCAACATTATGTTCTTCTTTATAGTAACAACTTTACTGAGAAATAATTCACATACCATAAAATTCTTTTAAAATATACAATTCATGATATCTCAACCTTTTATTACCCCATGAGATAACTGTATTTTAGTATGTATTGTGAAAACTATAAAACTGGAATTTCATTTCAGAACAAAGTATCAATATTATTTTCTTCTTTATAATAACAACTTTACTGAGAAATAGTTCACATACCATAAAATTCTTTTTAAAATATACAATCCATAATTTTTAGTATATTTACAAGGTTTTGCATCCATCATCTTCAAATTTTAAAATATTTTTATCATCCTAAAAAGAAACCCTATAGTCCTTAATAGTCATTGCCCATTCCTCCCTTTCCCCAGCTCCACCACTGATAGTAACCACTATTGCACTTCCTCTTTCTGTGGATTTGCCTATTCTGGACATTTCATATAAATGGAATCATATAATATGTGGCCTTTATGATTGACTTATTTTACTTAGCATAATGTTTTCAACATTTATCCATGTTATATCATGTGTCAGAGCTTCATTCCTTTTTATGGCCCAACAGTATTCCAATATATGG